CATTCTAATAATTTAGATCGTATCAAAAGACAAGATAGGAATATAATGTAGGTATCTGTGGCATTAGATATAAAAGTGAGCTACGGGCTGATATAGCGTGGCGAGTTTTCTTACGCCGCCCACGGCAAGATTATGGTCATTTTTACACATTTCTAATTTTATAGACCATTTTTATTAATTATCTATAAATTAAAAAACCTGAAACTGATAGATCGAATAATTAATCAGTTTTATTTTTAGATTGTAAAAATGTCGTATTCGTCTTCGAAATTTTTTTTTCTTATTCCTTAGACATGCAGGTTTCCTCACGATGTTTTCTTTCACCGCCGAGCACGTGGTAAATCAACACTTAAAATTGCAATTAACAATTTCATTGGTGTCGGCGGTGATCGAACCCGGGTTTCTCGCGTTCTGTTATATTTACAGCGAGTATTAACCATCTGAGCTACCACAGATCTTGTTAAATAAAATAAAATATTGATTTTGATGTAGATTTAATGATATTTTATACAAATTATAACTTTGTCTGCGATTGCAATCTTCAATAATTTCCGTCAAATATGTAACGTAAAGTTTGCTAATTATCAGAGAGGTTTTTATGAAAATATTTTCTATAGTCGAAACATAGTAGCCGTTATTAACTGCCGGTTAGATTCCTGCAAGGTGATGTCATGTATCTGTTACAAGGATTAATTTAACGATCTACTGCTGAACACCTTAATAATATTTTTTCCGTCTAACGGCGCCTCTACACGTTGGCCAACACAGTGGCGAATGTAGTGGCTAATAGCATTGGCCAACGTGTAGACGGGGTATTTGGGCTTCATTGGTATGTATTGGAACGATGCCCCGCAAGTTGGCGCGAGATCCGTATGGTGTCGGTTTTTTACAAAAGATCAAAGGATTGTTGGCAGAGTTTGGTCGCCGCGTCCACACGTTGACCGCGCGGTTAGTTTGCTACAAGCTCCCAGAGTGATTACACGCATCTGATTTAAATTTTATATTCAAGATTTGTAGGGTGGATGCCCCAATTACCAGCCTTTTAGTGCCAATTTCAACTTTAAACATTCCTATTACTTTAATTAGCGCGATTTAATTATTATTAAACATTTGTTTTAATCAATAAGCTATTTATCAAAAAAACATAACTTTTTTTACAATCGAATTATTACGAGAACAATTTTAAAATGAATAAAAAATGAAGCACGTCGTTTATACGTGGTAGAACCATGCAATTATATTAGAAGTATAGTTGCAGCACGAAGGTCGACTCAACCGGGGAAGGACCATGCTCTCACAGAATATCAGTGTAAAATAGTAGCTTACTTATGCTGTGTTTCGTATAGTGAGTGTAGAGAACCAGAGACCCTTTTTAAAGGAAACGAGGCATTTCATCTTAGTCCTCACGGGTGACAACGCATCTGCATTTTGATTCGTAATCGAGGATAGATGTAGATGTCTGTGGGCCACAGTAACCACTTACCATCAGGTGAACTGTGTGCTCGTTTGTCACCCTATCCTATAAAAAAACGTCGATTTCTTATAATTTAATCAGGCAAGATTTCGAATCATCACCATCATTACAGCTGTTCACAAGTCCACTACTGAACATCCTCCTCCACAGACTGCCGCAAGCATGGTCCCGAGCCACAGGCACAGCGACTCATTGCTAAGCCACTGCGCCACGGAGCCGTCGTCTAAAATAAAATAAATTCGTCCGCACATTGGCCCGAACCGAAGTAAACTGAACGACGTTCCAACCTATTATTAAGTCAGTGATAATTATATTTAGTACCTATTATTAAGTCAGTGATAATTATATTTATTGCTATTGTTTTTGTCTTTCTCAAAAAATAATTAAATTACCAAATAAATTATAAGGTGTTTTTTATATACATCAAATGTCTGATAGAAAAGCAAGTACATGTTTTGATAAACTTTAAAAACAAAACCCAATTTTAAAACATAGACTAATCGATTATAACTCCTTTAAATTTAAAATAAGTTAAGTTCTAATTAATGGTATTTATTCCAGTTTCTGATGCATGTAAAGAATAAATAAAACTAATCGTATACCGTATATCTATTTACAGCCCCATTAATATTCACTATTATTTTATAATCGTTTTATAAAAACGTAACCCCCCACACTTGGATTTTCTCCTGTATCGCGGAGGCAGCTTACAAACATAAATTGCACAAGGACACACATCCAGACCCGAAACAATTATTTGTAGGATATACAAATACTTGTTCCGTGCGGGATTCAAACCCGCGACCCCTGGCACAGCCACTCATTGCGCCACGGAGCCGTCGTCTAAAATAAAATAAATTCGTCCGCACATTGGCGCGAACCGAAGTAAACTGAACGACCTTCCAACGTGTGGACGCCGTCACCAACCTTCGGCCAATATATTCGCCACTACATTCGCCACTGTGTTGGCCAACGTGTAGACGCGACATTAAGCGAAAAAAAAAACACATACATTTGAAATAAACAAAATTGCTTTCATAATTAATAATTCCTGCATATTTTTTATTTGTATATACTTTTCTTGGATAATTTATCAAGTTCCTTCGTGCCCTTTACTCTCTTCTTTAACGACTATCGGCAGTCTGGGAAATTTAGGTACAGTGTTTTTAGATGAGTTTTTCGCCACGAGTCGATGGCGAGGTTCTTGTCTCTCAACCATCAGTGGACACGGCTTGTGAATATAGCGGATATTTGAAAGAATTGTTTTTCTAATCACAATACTGATATATAATATTTGCTCAGTATAAAAACTCAAAGTATTTAATTCAATCTAAAATATATTGAACTCAATACTTTGGAAATGTCAAAATTTTCATTTTTTTTGTTTGGGTTAATATATGACGGATAATTTACAATAACCGGCTATTACAGTTAAAAAAATATCTTGTACTTAATAGAGTACCCGTTGTAGCGTGATGTATACGCTTATATTACAACTGGTCTGAGTTGAGGACAATCAGCAATGCGGACGCGTGTCACTCAGTTAAGCAATGCGTTAACGAGCGCATGCAAATACTGCCTCAGTCGCACTAACAATGTTCCTGCAATATCTGGAAATGTGCTGCTTTATAACGACGAATCGATACCCTATTTCAAAAAGCCCTTTTCGAAGTGGCTGTGATCGCAATCCCGCAGGTTTCCCACATTATTGCTACTTCCCGTTGGCATTCTGGGTATTTTATGTAATCATGAGTCCTGGGTTTGAATCCCGGATCGGACGAAAAATCAATTATTGAGTTTTTCTGTCAAGAAATTCTCAGTAGCTGCCCGGAGTCAGGAAGTTGGCGGTGTCTCACCCCCGTGCCTCTGAAAGCACGTAAAGCCGTTGGTCCTGCGACTGATCTCTCGTAGCAGCTATGAGGTCATACCTGGATTTTGAACAGGGCGTCTTGACTGCTGAGAAGGGAAAAACACACAGGTCTGAACCAGTGTCCACGAGGAACTGCATTTTTGATGTCCGATCTGAGATGAATAACGGCCTGTTGAAGAAGCGTAGTCATTGGCCGCTACTTACGACCACCCTGTAAGTTTTCCGCCTTAAGTGTGCAAGGCTGCTTACACTTGTTCGCCTTGCGCACGTAGGTGTAATGATAAAAGCAGTGCGGGTGATCCGGTGGAGGCCTTTTGGGTCTGTATTTCCTCGAGTTGGATCGCGATCTCCGGTCGTGTCGATTTACAGTCCCGTCGGATTATGAGAGTGAGGGAATAGAGAGTGCACCTGTGCTTGTGCATGCACTTGAACACTATAATCCCGTCCTGCGCCGACGGCTAGCCTCCGTTGAGGCAGGCCGCCGTGGCCGAAATTCGGTCTTATTATTCGGACATTATTATTATTATTTTATGTTTAACTGGTGTAAATCACAGATGATTATATTCATTTGAAGGAAACTTTAAGATATTTTAGATATTTATTAAGTAACATTTTATGACACATTTATTTTGGTTTTAGGATTTTCTAATGCTGCCAACGAACTGCGCAAAATGTTGCTTATAAGTATGCTTTACGCCAATTTGGATAAGTAAATACAAAACCTATGCGATTTCACGTAATAAACCAACACTGTTCAGAAATTCATAATAGCAAATTTCTATGAAAATTATTCTCACAGTGACTTGTCACTGTTACTCAAAACAATGGCCTCTAAATTATATGAAAAGATTGATTGTGCTAGTAGACCTTAAAGCCTTCTGAAATTTAATATTTCTGCCAAATAATTATCGCTAATATTTCTAGAAATTATGTTTAAAAAATAATAAAAAGTTTTGAAACTACTTTCTTTTTCTTCTTGCAAGCGGCGGGATACTGATCCTGTTTGTTTTAAATCACAATATATTATATCGAATAAATTCCAGCTCCACATGATTCCAAGCACACGCGTCAAAGTACCAATAAAAATGATAAACGTTTGTGACCCAACCCTGGTTATGAGAAAAAAAAGGAAAAGACAATTTTTAGTAGATATTCTTGACTTCAAGCACGCTAAAAGTAAAGAAAGGCAACAAAGAGTCTAAGCGAAAGGAAATTTATCGACTCATCGTTCATTTCAAGTTAGGTTTTTTTATTTCTAAATTTATATAGTCACAGTACATGCTGTAATACAGTTATCGTCCATTTATTTAATTTATACTATACAGTATAATATTTTGAGAGTGAAATGGCCATATAGCTCGAAGAATCGACAACTGGTTGGGAAGAAAGGTTCTCGAGTGGTAGCATCGTACCGATAAGCGAAGTGTAGGGCGGTCCACCACTAGATGGGGTTACGACCTAGCAAGTGATTCAGGCAGTCGAGGGATGTAGGTCACTCAGGGTCGAACTTTGTAGCGTTCCTCGGAGGAGGCCTATATTCAGAAGCGATGTAATGAACTACGTGTAAGGGCGGTATTAAAATATCCATTATCTTCCCGTGGATGTTGTAAAAGGCGACAGATGGAAACAAATCTGGAGATAGCCAGCAGAATTTTTCTAATAATAACTTAAAAAAAGGCACCTACGGTTGCCAACATGTCTGCCATGCAGCAGTAATCCACCAGTGCCGCAGTGGTCCCCATGCCGCAGTAATCCACCAGTGCCGCAGTGCTCCCCATGCCGCAGTAATCTACCAGTGCCGCAGTGGTCCCCATGCCGCAGTAATCCACCAGTGTCCGCAGTGGTCCCCATGCCACAGTAATCCACCAGTGCCGCAGTGGTCCCTATGCCGCAGTAATCCACCAGTGCCGCAGTGGTCTCCATGCCGCAGTAATCCACCAGCGCCGCAGTGGTCCCCATGCCGCAGTAATCCAACAGTGCCGCAGTGGTCCCAATGCTGCAGTAATCCACCACTGCCGCAGTGGTCCCCATGCTGTAGTAATCCACCAGTGCCGCAGTGGTCCCCATCCCGCAGTAATCCACCAGTGACGCAGTGGTCCCCATGCCGCAGTAATCCATCAGTGCCGCAGTGTTCCCAATGCCGTAGTAATCCACCAGTGCCGCAGTGCTCCCCATGTCGCAGTAATCCACCAGTGCCGCAGTGATCCCAATGCCGCAGTAATCCACCACTGCCGCAGTGGTCCCCATGCCGTAGTAATCCACCAGTGCCGCAGTGGTCCCCATGCCGCAGTAATCCACCAGTGCCGCAGTGGTCCCCATGCCGCAGTAATCCACCAGTGCCGCAGTAGTCCCCATGCCGTAGTAATCCACCAGTGCCACAGTGGTCCCCATGCCACAGTAATCCACCACTGCCGCAGTGGTCCCCATGCCACAGTAATCCACCACTGCCGCAGTGGTCCCCATGCCATAGTAATCCACCAGTGCCGCAGTGGTCCCCATGCCGCAGTAATCCACCAGTGCCGCAGTGGTCCCCATGCCGCAGTTATCCACCAGTTCTGCAGTGGTCCCCATGCCGTAGTAATCCACTAGTGCCGCAGTGGTCCCCATGCCGCAGTAATCCACCAGTGCGGCAGTGGTCCCCATGCCGCAGTTATCCACCAGTGCCGCAGTGGTCCCCATGCCGCAGTGCCCCCCATGCCGCAGTAATCCACCAGTGCCGCAGTGGTCCCCATGCCGCAGTAATCCACCACTGCGCAGTGGTCCCCATGCCGCAGTAATCCACCACTGCCGCTGTGGCCCATGCCGCAGTAATCCACCAGTGCCGCAGTGGTCCACCAAGTCACCACACATGATATGTTGTGATTTTTATAAAAAAGTTATTCTTAAAGTTATTCCATAGCTCGCCGTCAGTAAGTACAGAGTAGCACCAGGTAAATTGTGCAACGATACTCTTACTACTTAACTTATTAATAAGCTAACGAGCTAAATAATTTATTAATAAATAAGCTTTGCCGTCATGGATGTCTTTCATTAGAGCTTACACTGGCTTTATTACAACCTTCGTTAACTGAGTTGTATCGTTAGTAAATTTAAATACACTAGGTCTCTTAGAATATTATAATTTGATATAGAAAATTTTAATATTGTTAATAAAAGAAACTATGTAAACAACAACAACAACAACAACAACAAACAGTATATTATAAAATATGATACTTTGCCAACATGAAGATTAAGTTTTTAAATTGTACGGCATGAATTCTGTCTATAACATATGTATGCAATGGTACGTTGAGTCCTCTTTATGTGAAGTCTATTCAAAAGAAAACTATAGAGATAATGTAAAGAAAATATTACATTCAATAGTTTAATTTAAATTTAAAAAAGATCATTAAATTAATGGGTTTACATTATTCATTTAAAGCGTTTTTATTAAACGTCTGTAAAACATAACATATCTATGCATGAATTTAAGGTACTTTGTAAACACTGTTGTTGGTCAGCTTTAATGAAATTGTATCTATTTGCGGTCATTGTGTACTAATATTGTCGTATTTTAAACTTTATTGTTTAGGACATAAATGTTATTTATATCCTAATGATACGTGATCAGTATTATTAGCCGCGCTATAATTTGATTTGGTTGTATATGTCCACACCTCTGGGTGGGCGCCGACCGCCCGCTAACGCTAAATTAAAAATCTGAACTATGGCGTGGGATGCGAACATTTATTAAACGGTTTTAAATATTTGTTTCAACACCATAATGTTCAAACTGACCGAAAAAATGAAACAAGCGTATATCTAACGTGATCAGAACAAATTATTCCTTATTAGGATTACAAAGATGTCGTCGTAATGTTCCAGATGTAGTAGTACTTCTACGATAACAAAAGCAGGCACCACCCGGAGTTTTTGTATAATAATTTATAACAAAATTTGATATACATTTTATTCATTATTCTTTATATTAACGCGAATTTGACAGCTCCGTAGCGAGGTAGAGCTGCGGCGTTGAAGGCCGCAAGTTCGATTATTACAGGTATAACCTGACTCTCTCTATAGCTCACTGAGTGACCTTGAGCTTTCTCATACGACCAGCAGTGAAATACCACGTCTTAGATTTATATGTTATCGATAGCAACAAGCACTTTTTGTACACTATTATTTTCAAGTTTTGAGGTTATACGTGACGAGATGTGTCGTAATCTGTTAAACGCTGCCGAGCTGAGTTGAATCTGTTGGTTGACCTATCGGTGTAAGTTAGAACCTAGCCGAACAATTTATTCTAGGTAAACATATTCGTCAACAAGTTCGAGCGTACTGCTCTAATAACTACCCGAATAGGTGTGACATGAAGCTACTCATGACCATTGTTTAAATTCATTGTGAATACTACGCAATGAATTAAAACTATTCTTTCCGTGTGCCAAAAGGCGCTCGAAACGTGGGGAATTAAACGATAAAAAATACCAATTTTATCTCGCTTAGTAAGTTTTATTCGACATTTTATCCTAAAACTGGGCCAGTTTGCACAATGACAGTAAAACTTTCACCTGTGTCAGCATCCCATCGAAAATATAGGATCCGTGCAAGAAATTGACTAATACTTTGAATCCGTCTAAAAGAAGGAAGCTAATATGGTAGCTTCTGAAAATGCTCAAGACTTGCTTTTTTGGCCTCCATTTCTAATAGTTTGTTTTCACCTCACGTTTATTTTGTATTGTTCGGTTTATTAACATGTCATCTTATTATCGAAGAGAATAATTATGATATGAATGTTGCAATAAATATTGTCTTTCATCAACCACCAGTATATTAGTTAAATTTACGTCCCTTGGTGCTCCACTACTTCAACCTTTATTGGCCATTTATAATCTGGGATTGCAAAAACACCGTCTTCTAATATCACGAGAACTTACTATAATTTCGTTCTCATTGAAACTGTATTATAATCACAAAATATTCTGGTAATAATGATTTCTTATATTTACGCGAACACTACACATTGAAATAATACTAGTTTTTACGGAATTTATCGAGTATATTTAACTTTTTAAATACCCGACGTTTCGAGAGCTTTACAGCACCCATGGTCACGGGAAGGACTGAGATGTTCAACGTCCAGATGTCATAGTTAACCGCGGTTACCATAGATTAAAAACGAACAAAAGTTAAATTTTAATCTATGGTAACCGCGGTTAACTATGCCATCTGGACGTTGAACATCTCAGTCCTTCCCGTGACCATGGGTGCTGTAAAACTCTCGAAACGTCGGGTATTTAAAAAGTTAAATATACGCGATAAATTCCGTAAAAACTAGTATTATTTCAATATTCTGGTAATAATCAAATTATTTTTTTTTTGTTGGAAACACATTAGTTCTTTTAATGTTATCGCTATAATAACTATTTCCATACAATATGCTCAAAATATCTACTTAAAATGAACGACAAACGACCAATTAAAGTTCATGTACTATATCATTTAAAATTCTATAAAGATAATTTATTACATACTATATGTACTTAAAAGCTGCAAAAACTGCTTCAAGACGGAAATTTTGCTAGGTGATTCACCATTATAAACGGTGGCACAATCAGCTATTATAGTCTACGTTTTATTAAAAACTTTCGCGGTGTATAATTTCGAGTAAGGGAATATAAAGAACAATAAATATTTATAATACTACTTTTCCAACGCTGCTAAATTGCGGTGTAATCGAGTCAACATTTATCACAACAATGTTTTTACATTATATTATAGTCGTTATTACATGTCAGACGTGAACTAAAAGTGACTGATACAAAGTACGAACCGCTCCTAAGACAACAACGATAAGAGACCAATTAACTTAAAATTAATTGTTTTATTGTAGTGGTTGTGCCGCTCGTAAAAATTTAAATGTATCAGTAGCCATTTCTTTACCTCTAAGAAATTTTACTTATATACTAAAATTATAAGGTAAGCATTATTAACATTTTATGACCTTCAGATATGATTACGTAATATTCAGTAGCATAAAGCTTGCAACCATAACATTAATCTCAAACTTTTGTAAATCATTTTAACATTAAAGATGTTGATTTGGTTTTAAATTGTGTCAAAAAGTTTGACATAAAACATAAAGGTGAATTTACTTTCATAGTGTAGCAAACGAGAGATAAAGGCAAAGTTATGGCCATTAATGAACCAGTTTTAATTTACGACCAAAACGAAGATAAATTATCAACTACAGATGAAGAAGGTATGAAAAAATTAATCGGATTGATGTTGGATGTGCCATTCTCGTAATGCCGTTCATCTTCGACGTTTTTATTTCAATAATTTGTAAAAATAACAAGCAGTCTCACAAAATAAAAGTTTAAACATTGCTTATGAATACAAAATATGATTCCATAAATTGCTTTAGTGTGATACTGAATACATTTTTTTAATATCTTAAAGTACTATTAGCGAAAAGTGTTAGTTATGTTGTTACATTTTTTTAAGTTGAAGTGATAAATGGCACTTATAGTCCACTTGATGACGAGTATAAGACCTATTTACTGGTAAAGTTGCATTCTATCTTAGTTTATAGGGGTTACAAGTAGCAACGCATCTGCAGTTTGATTCTTAATCGACGATGGATGTAGGCGTCTCAAGGCCACATCATCCACTTACCATCAGATGGAGTGTGTGCTGGTTTCTCACCCTTATTCTATAAAAAACTAGCAGATCATTTATACCTGCAACCAACTTCAAACAAAAAAGGCTAGAAATGCATTGTCACCTCTGAGGACTAACATAGAATATCTTATAATCTTATTTATACCGACTTTGTATAACCTTCAAACTGAAATATTGAAAAAGTGTGAGAATGGTACTCATTTGAACTTAAGGCAGTAAAGGAGTCCAACTTTTTGACGTGGAAAGGAAAGGGGAAGATCTCGCAGTGGGTAAGGTATTCATAAGGCCCGGGGAGTAGCCAACGCTCCAGACACTATAAAGGAACTTCGCAACTTTGATAGCGCAATTTAAGCTTTCGTGCGTTTTGCTTGTGGCGCGACTACAGCACCGCCACAACCTAGTAAAACACAATATCATACACGCTCTACGATATCATATATATATATATATATATATATATATATATATTTGATAAAACTTATTGCTTTAATATCATACTGATTACTATAACACCAGTATTCGGTTTTATAAATTTTTAACGACCACTTGTTTTATTTTTCTCAGGCCCTATAGGAAAAAAGGTTTAATTCATAAACATTATTTTTATTTATAAAATAAGAGTAACAAATGAGCACACAGTCCATCTTATCGTAAGTGGATGTCTACATGAATCCTCGATTATGAATCAAAACACAGATGTGTTATCACCCTTGAGGACTAAGATAGAAGCCTCGTTTCCGGTAAAAAAATGGTCTCCGGATCTCTACACTCAGCATACTAAACACAGCAGTACGTAGGACATTCAATAAGTTATGAGATATACAAAAAGTATTCTAGACCAGGATTAAGAAAGGAGTGCTTCGGTGGTTTGGTCATGTAGAAAGAATGAATGAGGAAAGAGTGACAAAAAATTATGTTGCAGAAGTGAATGGCAGAGTCGGAAAGGGACGTCCTAGGTGAAATTTATCGACCAAATTGGCAATTTATTGAAAACGGGCCAAATTAGGAGTACCCTTAACCGACGAGCATGTACGCGTAGGTATATGGATGTAAAAGAGGCGAGAGAGATGTGTCAGGATCGCACCAAATGGAAGTATGTAGTCTCTGTCTACACCTCTGGGTGACAGGCGTGAGTGTTTATGTTTTATGTATGTTATTCTAGATACTATTAATATTTATTT